CGGCGTACTCCGATTGGCTGGATTTGGAGATGCAGAGAGAAATCGGAATTCGAAGCAAAAGGCAGATTTCGAAGGAAGTCTGAAAGACCTAGTTACCTATCCTAGTGGTGCTAAGCTGATGGCGTCGGTGTGAATTGATCAAAATCACGCGTCCACATTGTGCATTTCACCTTTGATGGGTGACAATTTCACCTACATCAAGTCAAAGGAACCATGTTAGTCAGCGATTCGGCTTTCAGGTAACACCAAATGGAGGTCAACACCGAGTCTGAAACATGGCTAGTGGGATCAGAGGTTTCATTGGCTGGCCGGCACTCACTGCACGGCAGAAATGTGAGGCAAATGTCGCGACGCCGAGCTAGTGGGTTGAGAAATGAGTCACTACAGTCTGCGTTTTTACTTGAACATAACCTGAAAACCGAACTATCGATTTGAAGGTGGTGCAAGCAACTCTCCATGCTGAAGTCTTGATATGCAATTAAGACCGTGGTTGTACTGGTTAATTGTGAAACGGGAGATTTCAAGTAACACCTTCGTCGTGTTACTTCATATGAGCTTACAAAACTTCGAAGTGTTAACACAAAACGGTTCAAGATGTGAACGTGTGCTTAGGTCCTGAGCTTAGCACAACTAACATGTGGTTGAGTCGATTGTAACTTACGATGTTTGAATCATTTAAGATGCAATTCGAAATTACACGGCTTCACACAAGGCATCAACTGCCTTAAACGTTGCAACATTACTGGTGGGTAGACTGCAAGGCAATCATGTGTTAGCAGTGTCCTCGTGACAAGACACTAGGTCTTGAGATGTCCTGCGCTCAACTCACCAAACAACAAATGAAAGCAAAGCGTCACTCATCACCATGACAACGCTACACCGCATGTCACCCGCCACACACTCCAAGCATTTGACCAGTTCAATCAGTAAGTCTCTCAGCGTTTCCAACATTCCCCTAAACCTGTCTATCCACAGCTGACAAGGCGCCTTGATGCTGCAAAGTAATTTGAATAGCAAAACTAACCCTGCAGAAGTAACCACAGACTATGTTGAAGAGGAATCACATGGTATCGTCTAAGACCAAAGCGACCTGCTTGTAGGAAGCAGTTAGTGAGGCACTTCGCTTCACGTTTTACTTAACCTGGTTTTATGCGGAGCAAGGATTACTTACTTTCAACTATGACCGATGAGAACACCGCTTACCAAGGCCACGGTGGATCGATAAATCCCTGACTAAATCCACCGGGAGATGGAGACATGTTGGTAGATAGAAAAAGAGGCTTTTTCAATCAACTCGGATGCCGAAGCCATCCCATCCAGCTTTCTTTTAACTTTTCGTTGAAATGACATTCTACCGGTGCGGGGAGGAGGGGCAAACAAATGTACATGTTAGCTGGCACACGGGTGGTGAGGTAAGGATGCCTGCGGATTGGAGAGGCGGGGGGTGGGGGTGGAGACGAGAAGTGAATGCGCAAATAAAAAAAGGCAGATTTCGATTCTTCGAGTTGCTAGGCAGTGAAGTGACCGGGCATCGTTGTTGTCATCATCACCGGTACACTAGTTGGAGAGGGTGAGGGTAACTCGACGCTTGCTGCCATCGCAAACCGGTGTGGTGAGGCTCAGCTTCTTGTGCAGAGCATCAACCAGCTGACTGGGCGTGGGTTGTGCATCTGCCGAGCCGGCTTCGTTGGTGAGTGAGGGGGTGCTCGCGCCAGATCCCGGGGTTTCTGCGGACCCACCGACAACGAAATTGGCCACGGCAGTCGTGTCCACGTGTTGAGGAGGAAAAGGCGGGGGAGAGGGTGTTGACCGGCCGTCTGAGTCGGCTGCTGTCGCGTCCTCGTGCTGGTGGTCGGCCAACGACACGGACGACATTTTTGCGGATTTGAGCAAACTAATGCTGCCCACTTGCTTGTGTTCTTGCATTCTAAAAGAGGCACACATGGTCACGAATGTAGTTCCAGGATTACGACAAGCCAACAGTCGTGCGTGACAGGCACCACGCAAAGACCACACCAGATAGAGTACCTGTCGTAGATGAGTCCGTGGACGCCGAGTTCCTTCAGACGCTTCATGTTGAAGGAGTCGTTGGCGGCAGTGCCCCACACCAACACAATCAATCCAAGCTCTCGCGCGAATTCGGCCATGTCGGGATTTCGCAGCAGCTCATCACTGTTAACCGCAACACCCTGCAAAAGGAAGTCAGAGGAAATGAGGTGGTTTCGCACCACGGCTGTCACGAAACAGCCCAAAAAACTCACCAATAATTCGTTGGCTTTGGCAGAATAGCAGAGGGTTTCGAAGCTCTGTTGCCTAATGTCGGTATACTCTGGTGCGATGCCTAGTTGAAAGACTGGATAACGAAGTTGCTTTGTTTGAAGCCTGAAAAGAAGAAGACGAGCGTCAGCTTAAAGGAGTTAATTGACGATAAGAATCTGAAGTATGCCTTGATGTGAACACTTCACGGAAATCACACAAAACCACATAGAGGGTTACTCATGTAGGGTGGTACTCAAGAAACTTGACACGCCTCTAACTGTGGCACATTCTTACATCGAGAATGTGACTATAGCGCGAATAGGTACATGGGTACTCCCAACTTCTACATAACGTCAATGACTTCTACACAAATCGCTTTATTGGAGAGGAATACGTTTAGAGCTAAATCCGTGGCCTACAAAACCGTTTGAGGCTAGGAGGCGAAAAGAACAACAGCAACAAAAACAACAGCAGACTGGCGGTAACTAGTTCACTACACGAAGGAGCATTCACCACTCCACGCAAACTTACATGGCGCAGGTGTCTGGGTCGAAGCAGGACATGAGGATGCGTCGCTTGCCAGCGTACTTGAAGATCTCACGCAGGATGGTATCCACGTACAAATTCCTCTCGAAGAAGTTGTCCATTTCACTGCCACCCTTCTACACAGCGCAAAACACACAAACAAACGTTTTATCAGTGCAACCAGATAACCAATAGGACACAGCATAAATATGCAAGGCCAACCTACCACTAATTCCATGGGGTACTTGATCTCGATGTCGAAACCGACGTCTGGATCGATGTGCTGAAGGCAGTCCCGCAGGAGGGGAAAGTCCTGAAGTTCGACCGGGTCCAAATCTTCACCGTCCATGTCTGGAAATGCGAAATAGAAAAATAAAGAGCGTAAGAGGCGCATCGGCGAGTGCGAGGAGGCAACAACCACGGCTACGCACCCTCAGAGGACTGGGGCTCGGAGAGAACGCTAGAATGCTGAAGACGAAGTTCACGAAGAGCAGCATAGGGCAGATCTTTCACAGCAACCGATAGGTTTTGTAGTTCGCCACGGCGTTTCTAAAATCGCGAGACAGACAGATAGAGAGGTGTGTGTGTGTGAGACAGACACATAAAACACATAAAACATGCACCACAACGTGGTGCACAAATAAGGGGGCGGTGACGGCAGCGTAAAACCCACCTTCCGTGGAGTGATGACTGTTTCAAAGTCGTGGTAGACGACAACCTGGAAGTCTTTGGTCAGTTGAACATCCATTTCCACAAAGTCCGCGCCCTGGATGATGCCGACGAGATGAAAAGAAGGAAAATGAAAATCGATAAGTAGAAGGCCTTTGTGCACAACATGAACCACCCCACCACAATTAATACCCCTAGAGATTACGTCACCCAAAACGCACCCGCTTTTAACTCTGGCGCTACACTCCACAAGAGTGGATCGGGTGGGTCAAAAAGTATGCCTATCTCTAAGAATTGCCGCTACGGCTAACAACAAAGCGAGAGAACTAGTGTGCGTCTAGCGACGTGATAGAGGTTGAACTCACACGCGGTCAGTGTGACTTTGTCAGCGACAATATCGACGACGTCTCATCACTTTTAAACCACATATTTGAGTGAATGTCGTTGTAACAATGTGGCTACGTGCGCAGTTATCAAAGGTTCGGAGTGGTACATTGCTTTAGCAAACAAGCTAAGTACGACCCAAGTCTAGTTCAGGGACAACGCCTCGTGCCAATTGCCGTGCACTCGAGTAAACATCCAAGCACACCAACCACATGTTTCGGGTATCTTGGGAACGTGTTTTCACAAAAAGAGACCCAATTAACGGAACACTATTGCGATGGAGGCTCGAATAAGGAAAATAAAGCAACATAGGGTGGACTGAAAATGTCAGATGGGAGCGGGGCAGAATGGGCTAGGCAAATGTAAGTGGACAAAAAAACTGGGTTACAGACCAAGGAATCTAATTCACGCGTTAGTAGCGAGCTCACGGTAGCTTGCAATGAAAGACTTTAGCTTAGACGAGATGTAGGCAGCAGAGGAGGATGAAAAGCATGTCAAACTCCGAGTTAAATCGATAGGGGAATTTGGATTTAGTGAAATGGTTGCCAAAAAACGGTGTCGGTGATTACGTTAAATCATGACGCAGACAAGACAAATTGCACCATTTGGAGGAGGAAGATAGCGTTTGGGGGACGCTAAGCGTGGAGAACTGGAAAATGTGTACACGCAGTGCCAAGAAGGCCCCCTCCCCGCCTAACCAACCCAGACGGAAGACGAAAATGTTGGGCAAGGAGCAGAAATGGTTAAGAAATTACATGGTCCACCGCAGTCTGGAACGACCGGAGGGTGTTTTCTTTAACTGGTGCCGGGCTGAAAAAAAAAGTCAAACGTGGTGAAGTTCACGACTCGCCAACAACCGGCAGACGACGACGACGACGAAGAGGACGAGGCAGGGTTTGAGAGGACGGCCCTCCGCGAGCGCGGTCTCCTCGATCTGCGACCTCGACACACCGAGACGAGGCGCTTGGTGGCTTGCATTGCCACATGGGCAGGTGACTTGCCTTAAAGTAAACTCAAAACTCCCGCCTAAACCTTTTATCCGGCGCAGCGCTCGATGCCACACCAGGTAATTAAGGAAAACGGGCCAACCGTCCAAGTAGTGCACTCACGTGAAAATTAGTTGCACCTAACCAATCTGCAGAGGATCCAGAATTTTAGATACAATGACTAGGATCACTATCGATTATTGACGTGAACCCAGGCATCACAACACTCAATGACGTGATTCATAGAGTGCTATGAAGTAGAAATAGGCCTTGATGCCAGGTCATTATCAGCATCAACGACTACACAAAAAAGTCGATTTCTACAGCCTTAGCCTCAGGAGAGTGTGGTACATTTAAGTGAGTTAAATGTACAACAAGAGATGATTTTAAATACGAGAGGAGATGTAAACTTACAGTTCTACACTTTTTTCCTTCTTTGACAAATAATAGGTTCCCATGCCACGATGACCGATTTCAAGGGCGCCCCGTTTCTTCCAGTAGTGCTTGTAACTCACATCCAAAGTTGGAGGAGGCCCATCAACGATGGGGTTTATGACCATGAAAGAGACTGACGTGGAAGGTCAGTTAAAGCGTTCAGACAATAAAAAACACACGTATTTTCTTGACAAGAAACTCACTCTTAACATCGCCCATTGGTGTGCGCCTTCGGCTGAGAAGCTGAGCTCTCTTCTGCCCAGAGCAGCCCGAGAAGGGACCGAAAAACGCGGAGCCCAAAAATTTGACAGGCGGCAGTTGTGTTTCTTCGCCTGCTATAACATCCCAAAAGTGGTCTTGGGAAATGGGGCAATAGGTACCATCAAGCAATAAGGCATGACACTTACAACCATCATTTGAATCCTGGAGAACTTCCACGTAAAATTCGAGCTCTACGGCGACGTCTTCTGCATTATCGGTTTCGATGTAAAAGGTTACATCATCGCCACTTGAATAAAGTGTGCCCCAGCATCCAGTATGCTCGCCAAAATGACGAGTACAGCGTCCTTTTGAGAGGACAGAAAGAAAGATGGGGGGTTCGCCAGTCTGGCTCAAGGCAGGGGAAACTGATCTAGGAGTAGATGGACAAGTTGATGGGTGGCTAGAGAATGGAGAGGCAGAGAAGGCTGGACGTCGTGACGGTGGAACAGAGAAAGCACTGTTATAGGGGAGACTCCTAACGGGTTGGGGTTGTACGGAAAGCTGCGAGAAATGAGGGCTGGTACCCTCACATGGGGGATCGTCAGGTTTTTCGGGATAGTCAGTCAGCTGAGATCGAATCTCTGTTGCCAAACTCTGCTCAAGAGAGTAGATCAAATGGCTGGAACTCTTGGAAATTTGTTGGGCGCTTATCTTTGTGTTGGGGTATATCGGTGGCTCTTAAAGAAAAACAAGTCAATTGAATAAGGAAGCAATTATGGCATATGTGGTATGACAAGACGAACGTACCTCCCTCTAATGCCGTTAACAAACCGTTTTCCTCAACAATTGACTGTCGACAAGTTACGTACACACGCCGTCCCGCAAGCTTGGTCAGATCTCGCGTCGATGATGATAACCCAGGAACAGCATTCTTTGACAACTTGAGAGCAAGCCCGGAAAGACGAATCCGCAGTTCGGAATGATACATTAAATATCCACGTTGAATATAGGTTCCGTTGTCTACAGTAAGCTTGAAAAAAAAATTGAACGCACCATATTTTCCGAATCTGACGGTTTCCAAGTTGAGCTGTCCTTTATTATAAGCTAAAAAAATAGGTGATTGATCTTTCAAATTACCTGTCAGGTCAAATGTGCGGGGGTTTAACCGTGATTCCCAAGCCAAAACAACCATTCTTTTGTCCACGGGATCACTTTCAATGTCTATTCGCCATTCAGCAACAAAGAAGCGATAATGCAGTACAGGCGGGAGTGACGATTTAGGAATAGCACAAGACCAAATGTCTCGTCTAAATGATTAATGAAGACAGGGAAAACGGGAAACATACCCTGCAGATTTTTGGGCGTCGAAGCGACACTTTACACCATCTATTGGATTCCAATTTCCAAACTTTGGTGAATCGCCCACCATGCCGACAAAGTAACGACTTGAGCTCGTCGTGTCCGCGTTGCACAAATAGACGCAAATATTCTCAAGAGCATTTGCATCAACAAGAACAGAGAATGAAACGCTCTGATTTGGATCCCGTTTTTGCATGGTAAGATGAAATTTGCGACAGGCACGTAGCCCAAAGAATGACTGAATGACCGGGAAGACGCGAAAACACCGCGCAAAGGCCAGACCAAGGCTTATATGACCTTGCTGCTTGGGGTACGAGTATTCTTTAAAACACTTTTGCGTTCTTTAATTTTTTGGCTTTAAATTTACCTTATGCTTTGTTTTTTCTATTTGCGTTTTTGCAAACTATATTAAAAAAATTATTTCTTAAGGAGTTTTTAGGTTTTATTACCTAAATTTTGATCTCAATTTAATCGTGCAGACAAAAAGCGACAAGAATTGGAGGCATAAACTCAAGTAATATCACTGGTAACCGGAATCGAAATTGCACAAAGTAAGCTATTTTGTCTAGCAATAGAATAATCAGAAACTATAACGGCAGTCAAAATCTATAAAAGTTGAAGTTCTTGACTTTTATTAAAATTTAGCTCGGTAAGAATTTGAGAAAAATGAAATGCTGATAGAAGCAAACAAGAAATTCAACATTAAAGAATTATTCATCTGGTCATCCCTTTGTTAGTGTAATTTTTAAATGTCAAGAGACTGCTAACCGATCTGGAAATAAACCAATCATCGTTAAAAAAAGGATTGCATATAGTTGGTGGTAATTTTTAACTATCTCAAGATGCGTAAAAAATAATTTAAGAAGATTTTTGTCCGAAGGCAAAATCATGGTTCATTAATATAATTTAAAACGTAATTTATTAGTCAGAAACCACAGAGTGGTTCTAGGCATCAAAGCATGATGCTTAAATGTTATAGTTTCATTTTCAACACATCTTTTGATTTTAATGTAATGTTTAATTGGTTTGGTGAACATTACGGGCCAAGAATCCACTGTTTAAATATTAAGGTATACCAGAGCTTTTTTTGGACTTAATAATTTCTTCAAACATATAACCTATGATGAGTGGAATCAATCTCATGGATACTGCAAATTCAGTTCGAAAGTGAAATTACATTTAAAATAAAAAAAGACAAAAATGAAAATTAACCCCTAAATGAAATTAGAAGGATATAATTCGCAAAGAAAGCAAGCATCAGGTGATTTAAAAAATGTGAGCAAAAATAATTCATTAAAATTATTTGTATTTCCTGGAAAAAAATATGTTTTTTTGGGTGCGAACAAAAACAATATGTGTTTATAGTAAAATTCTTAGACAATACTCTAATATTTATGCAGCTTTAGTTATTTCTTGTTGATGCAGTCTGCATAATCGTCCCCTATTACTCTTTTGTGATTTGCCATGTCCTCGAAGGTGATTCACGAAATAGTTGGTGGTAATTACAGATGCTAATTAAGAGATGCCAAATGTTGAATTGTAAGAACAGGACTCTTTAAAAGGCTTTCTGAAGTTGAACGATACCTGTATGGCGTTTAAAATAATACCATGCATGTCAATGACTGAATCTTTACATCCCATTAATAAGACATATTAATAAACATCATTTGTATTTATCCATTTGATTAATCGCGATTTGTGGAATAGAAATTCTATAACAGTCCTCCACATACAAAATTAATAGCTTTATGCAATATCTATTAATCCGCATCGATATGACTCGCGTCAAAAAAGAGTTAACAGTAGTTTAGGTCCTAAACCATTAACTGCCGTTTTCATGTTTATTTTGGATTGAACGTTTGACATGTCAACGTAATGACACTTCAAATAGGAAAAAATGAGTTAATGCGAAGGGGATCAGTTGGCATTTACCTCCTCGTATTAGAATTTTTAAATTTTTCGCAACATATGCAGAAGGTTCTTCAGCGTAGAAAACCCTGTGTTAGTAGAACATGATGTTTTTGACCTAAATTTCTAATTTTTTCACTTAAAATGTTATATGTGTCTACGCTTTGAGACTACATCTGCAATTTAGCCATTAAATCACAAAATTCATCATACTGCACCAGAAAAATTATTTGGGCCTCAGAAATTGCCAAAAGTCGATTCGAGTTTCAACAAATAAATATGTCCTGCTAACTGTCTGACATCATATTGGCTACGTGGCTGTCGCAAGCTTCATTGTACCATGCCGAAACGTAATCCAGATCAGAAAGTTTAATTGGTCAATTTCTCCTGGCAAAATAAATGCTGAAGGTGTTAGTTAAAAAAGAAGCTGATACAGTAGACGGGTAGATCAGCTTATTCAAAGACATTTTTGATATTTTACAAAGAAGTCATTTCCATGAGTGTGGAATGATCGGCACACAAAAAAAACATCATATCTAAAACACAGCGGATTCTGGCTAAATTCTCATCGCCACAAAACCCCGAAAATGAACAAACATGAGCCAACACTTACCCACCCACCGACTTATCTAATTGGAAGGTTTTATTCAGGCATGTTTTAATAAAAAGCTCTAAAATAGTGAATGTTGTTCTCCATAAGTTGATGGGGTTTTTGACAAGCAGTACACTGAAGAAAGGGTTAAAATTTATAGTAAGTCCAAATTTGATCGGTAAAAGCTTTGGAGAATGTAAGCAAGCTTACCTAATGGGATTTCACTTTTGGAACTTTGCTTGCTCTATTATATGGCTTGGGTTGATGGAGGACAGAATTGTTCCAAATTAAAAACGATGGACTGGATTTATCTCTGAGGACATTTTAGCGACCTTTTACAATTTGTTTAGTTATTGCAGACCCTTAAGAAAGTGCCTGAAATACAACTTTTTGTGCGTCTGTGTACACGAAATTGTTGGTGGCATGATTTATAAAATTCAAACATGTTTAAATTTTGTTTTTTCTTTTTTGGATAAAGTTAGTAACATTATTAAGCAACTTTAGAACGTGATAATGCTGATGTTTTTGCATGACGTGCCGTCTTCAAGAATTATGTTTCATTCAATTGTAACATGCATAATCATCTTCTGTTATTATAATGTTGCGCCTGCTGGGTTGTTTTAATAGTGATCAAAAGCATCGTTTTGAAAGCTTTAGCGACCATATTGTGTTGACTATAACTCTCCTTGGTTTTCTCAAAATTGACGACACGTGTGCTCACAAAGTTGCAGACACGATATAAGTCTTGCCGAGTCGCTGCATTCTTAACATACAGTTCTCACCCAGACCCACAATTTTTAAAACATAAATGTGTGAAGAAGAGATCACATGACAACTGGCATTTTTTTTATTCGGCAGTGTAGCAACCATCAGATTCGCTGCATCAATATAAGAACAGATACGAAATCATTATTATGTTAAGCAATAAATCATCACACTAGAGAACGTTCGTGATATAAATTTGCAGATTAAAAATTATTACCAAAGTAAATACTCCACATTCAGTTTGTTGTCCTTTAAAATGTTTTAGAAAATATTGCGAAAAAATAAGGAAAATGAAACCAAAATATATTAAATTGAATCTCAGATAAGTATTTTATTAGCTTGTATATACAAAGGTAGCTTATGTTAAGGTAAAAATGAATGTAGAAGTTTTTCGTGTAATAATTAATTCACTAGTTTTGAAAAATAACCAAATGAAATGATGTATATGTGTCTGCTGCTCTTTGCGGAATAACAGATGTTAGCATTTTATCGTGTGCTTTCAATCCCATTTTAGAGTGTGTAAAATTGGTGCAGTTCCAGTTAGAAATAATTTTTTTTTGCAATTAAGCAATTTTTTAGAAATTTGCACTAAGTACCGGGTAATTCTATTGAAAATTCTGCAAATAAATGATTTCCTGCGCTTGGCAACCTTTACCGACCTGTACATGTTCATAAACTTGATGTCCGTCAAATGCACAGGATATTAAGAGGTATATTTATCTAAAATAACAATCAAATTAACCTCCGCTTAAAATCACTTTGGACTAAACTGATGGATGTTTCACTATACGCTCCTACGAAGCGCAGGTATTGAAGTCAGAAGTTTGATTCTGTTGTTTTCGCTTGTCATAATATTGACTAAGATCACGATGCAGATTTATACTATGAATGATTTGTGTTTATATATTTTTAGTCAGCATATTGTACTAAGTCTACTACTTTTGTGTTAAAACTTCTGTAGCACCTGCCATTAACACTGCTTTCAGTTGTGTTTGCTAATCATGGATTTTCAATCCTACTGCGGGTAATTATAATTAAATGGTTTCAATCAATGCAAGTATTTATTTATTAATTCGAACATTAAAGTTGTTCAACCCGCATCGTCAATCTGAATCTTGCTTTTTAGGATAATTGTCCTAACATTAATGCTTCTTTTCTTAAACATTTTTGCTTATTAAACAGATCCTGTGCTCATCTGAATTTCGCTATTACCTCTTTCTGTTATTTATCTATTTCCCACTGATTTTTCGAGTTTAAATTTGCACCAATTTTCGATTTTAGGGAATATATTTTTAAATTTTCACAGCCGCTCAGTTATTTATTTTTCCTTGGTGCTTTTTAACCACTTTCTCAACCCGCGTTTCCGTTCTTTACTAGCAACCACTTTTGGGTGATTTTGACTCACGATGGTTGCAGTATCGGACCCGAAATACGCCGACCTCCAGGCATGCTGTGTTTGCTTGGGCTTTCGTGACGAAACCGAGTACAAAATAGATGTTGATGCAGCAGGTAATTATTTCTCACATGTCACCAATCTCGCCTCGTAGCGTCCATTCGTTCAATTTTGCGTTACCTGCGTGCCGAAAGCAGTAGCTGTGATATCCGCAGGGAACTTGGCAATATGAAAATCCTCACCAGTGACTTAATCCCGCTATTAAAAGTCTGCAAAAAGGACAATCATTTATTTGACCTGGTCGTGAGGCTGATGGTGAACCTCACGCAACCAGCCGTCGTGTGCTTTCGAAACGAAATTCCCAAGGACCGTGACCTCTATGCTTTCTTCATCAAGGTCGATTCAATCCTGAAGGAGTACAAAAGGGTGGGCTTCTGATTTCCTTGTTAATGCTTAGGCCTTCGCCGACGAGCAACTATTCCGAGTTCTCGCTGAATGTGTTGAAGACCTTTTTGACAAGGTACTTACCCAATATCCTTTCATTGCATTATTAAGCCGTGGGAAGATCGCAGTGACGATGATCGACTGCTTATTGAACGGATCCTCGTTTTGATCCGAAACGTGCTTCACATAACACCCGACGTCTCCACCGAACACGTAAGTGCGTTTTGGTGTTGATGGTGCCTCGTAACCTCTGCCTTTGTCTCATTCCCCATAAATTTATTTAAGCGAACGGATGAGGATGTTTCGGTTCACGATCAACTTTTGTGGGCAATTCACCTCTCTGGTTGGGACGAACTCCTGCTGTTCCTAGCTAATGCCGAAGACGAGCAAAGCGTGTTTGCCTTCCACACACTTGAAATCATCTCCCTGATGCTTCGCGAACAGGTCTGTTTCCGTGTGCGTTATTACATTCTTGTGGTTTTTTACTTTCTGTGTATGCTTTTTCGATGTTAGACCCCTGAACAATTAGCCGTCGCGGGCACCTCGTCAACCCATAACGACCCTCAGTCCTTGTAAGCTCTGGCTGTTTAATTTGTCGTGGTAGTCACTACTGCAGGCACTTATAAGGGTAAAATTTCTCTGAAGGATCATTGAGAGGTGTCATCTGCGAGAGAAAGAGCAACGTCGAGCAGCACTGGTTGAATTGAATATGCGGTACGTAACCTGACAGTATGCACTTAAAGCGGATGCATTCCAATGAAAAGTGATCTGCCTCGTAACCCCATTGCTCTCGTTCCTAGCCACAATCGTTTCGGCGGTACTTTTGAACTTCTCGACACCAAGTCGCTGTCGAACCGTCCTCTAATCTACCACCACGACGTGACCGCGCCTGTACGAAAAGCGTGTCCGGGTAGTGCGCCCGAGAACACCTCCGATGCCTCCGCTCCGACCATCGGTCTGGTCGATCTTGATTTTGGCAAGAAGATGCGCCGTAAACCACGCACTCGGAAGCCCCTCATTGAACGCGAATTCCACCGCCGCTCCATCCTCAGTGTTCAGCTTTACCTCAGGGTTAGTCCATTTGGCTGACTTTTCGTGTGTTCGTTTCTTCTTTCTCTCTTTCTCGAACCCGGTGTTGTGGTGTTTTTGTAGAACTTTTGTTGGCAATTCCTGCGGAACTGCTACAACCCTCTGATGAGTGCGGCACGTGGAGCCATTCTCCGACAGAACACACAAGCCAACGACGAGACGTATTATCTCTGGGCGATGCGCTTCTTTATGGCGTTTGGTCGCCTTTACAGATTCCGTCCGCAGTATCTCAGGTCAGTCAGTGTTGACTCGTTTTGATTGGTTGTTTACACAATGCTCCTATTGGCTGCTTCCCATTGACCCTGATTCAAAAACAATTGACGCCGATTTAACGTTGAAATTGCTTCAATCTTTTTGACGCCCAGCGAATCTCTGAGTGTCTCCGTGTTTAACTGGGTGTATACCCTGTGCATGGGTTACCGTGAGTCCTTGTTTGCCTACAAACGCGGTGGTGCTACCAACCAAAATGCTCTTCAAATCAGTCGCCGTCTTGCGCTGGCAGTTTCCGCCTACCTCCAGTTCCTCTTGTGCCTCCAGGAGATGGTTAAACCGTCGCCAGAAAGCGCGGCGTCCACAGACCTCGACGACGAGGAGAAGGAGAGTGTGGAGGACCGGGAAAATCGATTGCGCGCGCAAAAACAGGCTGCCGAGTCTCTGATGTGTGAGTCAGGCAGTTTTGCGATGCTAAATTTACACCTAGAATGCTCCTCCGACCAGTAAACCCTGATTATTAATTGCTTTTGGGCGCAGCGAACATCTTCTACGTTGCTGAATACCAGGATCTCTATGTGCTGTTGCTGAGGGAATACAACGAGTCTATTCAGAGCAAGTAAGTATGCTTGAATAAGTCGCTGAATCTGCCATGAGATCAAAGTTTGTAGGACAGGCGAAATTGACATATTTGTGCTTTCCAGTGTAAGCCTTGGTAAAAAATCTGTTTTTGTCAGAGGTGGGAAGAGGGTTTGCTCTTGCAGGACACGATCACTGAAGTAGTTTTGTGTGCTCATTGACGGCTAAAACCAGCATTTAACGGCGCGGATGGTGTTTCTGCCACTGAAATCGATTCGCTCTTTCCAGGGAATACTTAATTGACCTCGTCGAGGGTGCACATCTCTTCATCAGCTTGCTGACGTCTCAGGAGAAGGCCGCGATGACCCTCATCGTCTCGCGTCGTCAGCGGCGCCGCCACGCTAACGAGAAGCGACGCCAGGAGCGTGCGGAGCGACGTCGACGACAGCAGGAAGCAGCGGAGGCGCGTCGGAAACTGCGTCAGCGGGCCAATGAGTCGCCGGAGGAACGCGCTGCCCGTCTCGCACGCACCTGGGGTGTCCTCTCCACCAGCCTCCTCACGATGTTGGCTGCGAACAAGGATGTCGTGGTTGACGACGACGACCTGCCGCAACTCTTCGACCCCGCCGCCGCGCCGCCAGATGCAGCGTCGATGGCCAAGCAGCTGCGAAACGCCATCCGCCTGGTGCACACGGAGCTGCACGCGAACAGAGCGAGTCGGGCACTATTGATCGCCCGCAACATGTGGGACATCTGGCCTGAGGCCGCGCCGAGCCTCGACGAAGCCAACCAGGATGGCGAAATGGACGAGGATCTGCTGAAGGAGAAGCAACGAGCAATGGAGGCTGGCTTGGAACCCGCTCAAGTGGCTGAATACACCGCATTGTGGAGGATCTTTCTCCTAGACCTAGCTGGCACGTTGTGTATCCGTCTTTTTCTTGTGACACTCTGTCTGGGCGTTGTCGGCTAACCCCGTCTTTGATCCCTTCAGACGAACAGTTGGAAGTGATTGACGCGTCAATCAGGGAAGACGAGGAGAAGGATGAGGAGGAGGAGCGGAACGAGCTTATCCGTCGGGAACTCGGCGACTCTGACGACGAGTACGACGTTGTCGACAAGGAGGTGGCCTTCGACTTGAATGCCTACCTCCTTCGGTTCACCCACCCGCACATCATTCGATCGTTGATGTGAGTTCGTTGCAGGATTGTCCGGGTTTTTGTCTTGAAAGATTATTGTAGAAGGCACTAGCACCTCTAGATTATTCACTAATGCACCAGCAGACAACCAATCGCCTCTGAGGGATTTTTTGGTCTGAAACCTAGCCAATTCTAGCGACAAAGTTGACTTCAATCGATAAATCAGGTGGTTTGTGATTAACTATTTCTTCGAAGGTCGCCTTGTGGTTGTTGGAATGGAATCCTCGACTACTTCAAGGTCGCCAGCTCATGAAATTGTGCTAGAAGATGCACTGTTTATCACCAGTAGTAACAGGCCTGTGTTTGAAGCATTGACCCGCAGCAGCAGTTCATGTGTGATCCATTTTCGAATAACGCCAACATTTCCGATCATTTTCAACTAGCGTGAACTCGATCGGATTTCTCCGCATGCTTCGAAAACGTCGAAGTGGAGTATTCCGTAAGGCTAGCTTTCAACGCCTCAGAATGTAAAATTCTCACAAGACAAACCACCTTCTGCAACTTCCCTGGACGCTTTGAATGGACTTTGTGTCATTGGCACGTTTATGAAACCCATATAGAGTGCATCATTCAAATCATGTGCTATGGTTGGGATCAACGTGGATGCAAATATTGATGAATATCACGAAATAGGCATGAATAAATCAATAATCCCATCACCAAATTCACAGCATGATGCAATTCGATAAATTTCGATGTGTTTTGTGTTCTGATTTGCCGTGTTTTGACTGACTTTTCATGCAGACAGCTTCTGGCCAACTACGCGCTGAATCCGCCCTCGACCAACACGTGTCTTCTGCATCTCTTCCATCGAATCGCCATCAAACCACACATCCCGGGGATCCTCTTTCAGTTGCGCCTGTTCAGCGTCATCCAGACCATCATCAAGGACCCGATTCTCACCAAACTCGACGAATCCAAGGTGTCGTGTGAAGTTCGCTCTCGTTTTGGCCTTTCTGTACGACCTATTCAACTCTCCCCCTCTTTTCTTCGCATTTCCATCTAGGAGTTGTTGAAGTTCATGAAGTATGTTTTGCGCAAGTTCTTCGAGGCGTTCGAGCGCAATCGGAGCGTTGCCGTGGAGGCGCTGTTTTTCAAGTCCACGAAGGAGGCTGCTGAGGTCTACAGTGGTTATGGCACCTACGAAACGGGGTGAGTTTGCCGCCTCCCTGTCCCTCCTTTTGCTGGCCAAAACCGGATCTTGTGTAGTTCTTTTTTGGTCCTTGTCTAGACACAAAGCCGCAACATGGAGCACCGACCTAGACAGGGAATTGGGACAGCTTTTTGAAGCCTACAGATACGATCCAGTGCCACAGGGTGAGTCAACTTGCATTGACCAATGGTAGTGCTCGTGCTGGGTGGCTGCTGACCAATCACATCGCGCGGTCCGTAATCCCGCTCTTCCATTGGTTCATTGTGTGTGCTTTTTATTTAGGGGATGATTTAGTGGACGTGCTGAAGCGCAATCTCTCCGACCCCACGAAAACACGCCGACAAATCATTACGCGCCTCATATTCCTCGGAAAAGTTGACTCTGCTAAGCAACTCAAAATGATGACGTAGGTCGCCAAATAATTTCATTACTTCTTTTTGCCTTGAAGAATTCATATGGGTGAGGGTAGAAGAGCCACCAGGCGTGCTAGAAGGCCCTGGACCGAAGATGAGGTTAATATGCTGCAATCGCTCTTCCTTGAACACAAAGGCTCATCCCGTACGTTCATTAAAAGACAGCCTACTATTAAGCTTTAAGTAGAGTTAATTTTATACTCGATTATTTCACCAGACCTCCTCTCGGATATAATGGGTGTGCTGAATTTGGAGTACGAGGACAAGTTGAAACAGGCGCGGGCTGAAGGCGGCGAAGACGACGAACCGCTTCTACGAACACGTCAGGAGGTGGGCAGGAAGTTGATCGAGCTCGGCCTGGTCTCCGATGCCAGCGAGTTTGGCAAGTCGCGACGTCGGAGTAGTCGAAAGACCGCCGAGGAAGTGTCCCAGCTGGAGGTGCTCGATGGTGGCATATCGGTGCTGAAAAAGCAACCCCGAGGAAAGAAGGCTCGCGTCAGGAGGACGACTCGACCAGACTCTTCGCCGGAGCTGCATTTCAACACCAATGAGCGCTTCAGTGACGAGGAGGAGGTAATCTCAATTGGTCAGATATTTCCTGTCATCTGATTGGTGGGAGAGTGCAAATGACCTTGACTCAGTCATCTGATTGGATTTTAGTTGTCTCATCTGCCTTCAGACTAAATTGTTACCAGTCAAGCATATTATTACTATTTTTCTTCGTTTTAGGTTCCTGCTAGTGGGAAAGGACCAAGTCGCTCATCTTACTTCGATCCGGATGAAGATAATGATGATTATGGCGAAAAAGACAATGATGCAGAGGTTGAGTGATTAGCTACTGAGAACTTATCAGTAGAATGTTGTGCTTTGTTAAGATATGGTCATCCACAATGCGAGTTTAATCGATCGAATCAAATTGGCTGCTGACAAATTATTAGTAAATAAATGTATTTTGTTAAGACATGGTCATCCCCTCTGCCAATTGCATAATATATGATCAGATTGGCTACTTACAACTTATTAGTAGGATGTTGTGCTTTGTTAAGATCAATTTTCTTTGATTAAGGTGCCTTCTAGTGGAAAAGAACCGAGTCGATCCAAGTATTTTGATCCCGATGAAGCTAATGATGATGGTGATGTTGATAGCGATGTGGAGCTATCGGTTAGTCGCAGACAATTGAATCGGTCGACTTACTTCGATCCAGCTGAGGATAGTGGTAGTGATGAAGACAACAAACTAGAGGTGCGTTACCAATTGATTTGTGAACGTTAAAATTGACTGTTTACTGACAACTTGTCAGTAGTGGTGTGGTGCTTAATTCTGATAATGGAACATTTAATTAGCGCTTTTTTGTTATCCAAAAGTAAACCTGAAGTGATACTGATTTGCATTGATTAGGAATAAGCGTGAATGCTCGAACGTGGGCAGTAAGAGAACGGACCATCAGAGCTTTAACAGGGATACTTCTGACTGTAGATTGACAATCCTGGCCAATCAGCTGACTCGAATCGCCCCACCAATCCCGGTTCATCATCGAACTCCCCTCCACCTCTCTTTAGCAATACGGATGCCGAAGATGAAGTAGACGACGCTCCTGCCGTGGCTCGAAAACGACGGAAACTCGACCTAGAGGATGATGATGACGACGACGACGAGGCGATTGAGGAACTGGAAAAGTTGGGAGCTAGTGAACCCAATATCGATTTCCTGCAGAGGCACGTAAACGCTTTTATTTTTCATTTCCTAATTATTCTGTGCTTGCCTCCGCGATAACTACTATTTCGACGCGCGAATTACCACAAATTAGTTTGCCTAGTACCTGTTTATTAGTAGTATTTTGTAATTTGTCTAACCTACCCACCACCGGATTTTGACGTCATCGCCAGATCAATTGTCGTGGTTTCGAAACGTGCCTCGAATTGAAGACGTGTTATTCATCGTCCTTCTACCCCTCGTCAGCCCCATTTCCATTGGTCTGCTTCGTGTCTACTTAATCACGTGGCTGCCCGTTTTCCATTGGCTAGTTATTCGTAACAGCCATTTGTGGTGTTTTGATCTCTCTTTTAAACGGTTTTTTTATGTCTTCAGAGAGATTGACTCGGCCCTACAGGAGACTGGTGCAGACGTACAGATCGCCAGCCCCCCACACCGTGAACGTCGACGCACTCGTCTGCTGGGCTCTGATGATGACGACGAAGAGAAAGGGGAGAAAGACAACGCATAAAACGAGATTAATCAATGCTCCTTACCCCCCTTGTTTTGTATACGCTTTGGAGTTGACTAAGATTTATTATATTTTGTATGAGTCAATCGGTCACCAGCATTTTTAGTTCTGAGTGCTCAAAATCGGTCGATAATCGTACTTTCATCTCCCTCCCTTTTTGAATTGGCAAAACTTTTTAAAATCAGGCGTCAACGTGAATTTGTGGCGTTTGTTTGTTGTGACATCTAGCCTCAGCCAATCACGTGGTAGACGATTTTTCTCCAATCATCTTACCGGTGGCCCACTTCTTAATACTCGCTTATGTCGGAAATACGACAACGCCACACGTCATCACCCAAACACTTGTTAGCGCTACCTCTTCGATATTCGATCGTTCATTGGCTCAGCCAATCCCCTCTAACTATTCCACAAGTAGGAGCATATTTCTTGACGTTTCCTACAATTTATTACAAGTGATTGGATGCGAAACGACGGTGGAAGGATGGGGGGGGGGGAAGAGATAGCAAACAGCACAAGATCGCATTGCTGAGACTCGTTTGTACACAAAAAAAACACGACAATCAGGTCAGATGAATCGCTTAAAAATCGAGGGAAAACGGCTCGTGGTGGTGCGAGAGTGAAGAGGTGCCGCGAATTCCTGCTGGATGTCCTGGTATTTCGGCCACTTGTCCATGCGTCCGTAGCCCACCATGGTTATGGGCGACTTGAACATGCGTGCCAGCAGGTCGTGGAGGTCGTCGGCAGTCACCGCGTCTAGAGCAGCAGCAATACAGGACATGAGTAGTTGACATCGTCTGTAACAGGCAATCAGAAAAGCCGTCAAAACTCACTAATCTTCTCCACCCAATAAGAAGGCGGTTTCCATTCACCAGAGGCGAGCACCTGGCGGGCAATGTCCTCAAACGCCACCGGATTCATCTCCAAATTCATCAGCAACATCGACTCCAGCTGGTTCTTCGCGCGCTGCAGTTCGCCCGCGCCAATCGGTGTCTCCGCGGTGAAGCGCAACTCGTTGATGATCACGCGGACCAGGTGGTGGAGGTCTTCGGGCTCCGCACTGCCCGAGATCGCGAAGACGCCCGCGTCTGCGTACGCGTGATTGGCTGCCTGGGCTGAGTTGACCCAGTGGTACCTGTTTTGCGTGTAGACAAGGCAGCTGTAAGGCTCCGCGTTGCTACGGCCTCACTAAAGGCCAATTAAAACACTTACTGGTTGAGCACGTTGGTGTAGAGGCGGGTGTACATGCCCTTGCCCGGCCCACCGGCCGAGAACGATCCGCCACCGCCAAGGAGTGAGTTGAGGAGGCACGCGGTGACAAATTGCGGATCCCTCGAGCCACAGCCCTCCAGACCGATGGCGCAGTGGGCAAACTCCGGCATTGGCGCGTGGTACTGCGAGAGGTCCCTGTGCACCTAGAACCAATCAGAGCTGGGCTAAGAAAACCAATGAAAATTACGAATTTAACAAATGCCGATTAGTGGAAAGTGTAGCGGACTCTGGTTACCGACCTAACGGTGACAATGATTCATCCCCTTTTCATTGGTTACTGTTATCGGACGCCTGCCATCCGTTCACTCATACACACACACACACACACACACTAAGACACACTTGGCTGGCGTGACGCTAATAAACGGTCATGTTCACTGTCGCCTCTTTTTCCACTCTTCTCGGGTTGTTTCTGGCTGTTAACTAGAGGGTTTTAAAGCAGTGCTAAACTCTAGCCGCTACAAAAGGGCGCAGTCGACATTTAATAGCAAATTTGTGCTTCTGTTTTGAAGCAAAATTGACTAATCTAAGCGACGATGATCACAGAAACGCCAAATTTTTTGGAATGAGTAAACAAGCCGGAGTGAGCAGTGGGTATGGGGACTGAAGCGAATTTCGCAAGTCGTTTGACGTACCGACATCTCACCACCCAAGTAGACTGGCGTAGACTTGTCCGGGGTTAGACGCTCTGACTCTGGGACTTCTCTGCCGTAACTTGTATCCCACGGCAGAAAGGATGATTCCACGTATTGGATAAAATCATCGTGGTCCACACCTACACCCACAAGGACTGTGTTCTCCGGCCTGTGATAGGATAAAAAGTTATGTCTGATTACGATTATTAGGTTCGAAAGATGGCAAAACAGAGGAGTCAGGAAGCACTGCTATGATTCACCACCTTCAAGAATACGAAAAGAAACAATTGTTCACTCAATGAAGACGTTATACTTAATTGCCGAATGACAGAAAACGACAATGACGTACCTGTAATAAGAGGCCATAAACTTCATGATTTCGTGGCGGGATATCTTCTCGAGCGACTCCTTGGGGCAGTAGCGCGGAAGTCCGAGGGTGTTGGAGGCGTGAAACGCCGCCGAATGAAGCAATTCGTTTAGAATCGGCTCAACTGGTGGACCCATTTCCATTCCAACTAACTCGAATCCAATGGCCCGCGCCGCCATTGCAACTTCTTCGTCTGTAATTTTGGGCCGCATCACGGTCTCAGAGAGGACGTGAGTAAGCGTTTTTAAGTGATGATTTACTCCTGACATAGCATACACTATGAAATCTCTAGTGGGATTAATGTGGAACATTAACGATTAGATTAAGTAAATGGCTTGGGTATTACGACAGCCTACCTCGATATTTGACAATCAAATATAGCATTGCAAGACTCCATTGTGGATTGTATGTGATCCCGGTCTTTAAAACCATCACTTGACTATAAAGTAGAATGGAGGAATGAGGCATTATTACGTGAAATCCAAGTTTTTCCAGGAAATGTGATGTGCCACTGATGGTACCACTTTCATAGCGAGGCCCAGCTCTAATCATCGCTAAAAGGTAACACTTAAAAAGGAAGTTCATCATACCTCCGATCGTGCAGTGCATGCCAAATTTATTTTGCGAAGCAACAGTTAGGCCATTCTTAAGAGTAGTTATTTTTACCGAGGATTCATTGGCTAGAGAGGAAAGTGGGGATTTAGGCTTGAAAGTGGAAAGCGCTTGAGTCAATGGCACACTAGTTATATCCGTTGATAATGGCCGAATATTTAAAAGAATCGGAAAAGCGCGTTTCGAATAGTGAAACATTGCCCCAATGATAAACCACCTGTAACCTCGCACCCACTCCTGTGTCACAGATTCAGCCAAGTTTTAATTCGCTGAATGTTCCTTTTTAAGGTCAAACAAAATTGTCAACCAACCAAATTTTAAGATTAACTGTGTGCATTTGTGAACGTGTGTATGGTAAAACGTTGGGATGTAAGTTCGTACCGTCGATTTATTTTGAAATGTAGGGCATGCACCAAAGTGTTAAGTCGAATCGTGGCACAAAACGGAACCCTATCGGCTGTTTGTCTCCATTTATAGTATAATAAATTTGTAGGAACATCTGGCTCCTGAGATCATTGCCATTAAAGAACAACTTAATAATGGTTTAAAATACTTCAATTTAGAAGCGTTAGTCTATCTTAAGTTTGATTCGGCTTTTAAATAGGTCAGTAAATGCTGACATGGACGATTTGCAGAAGGTGTTTGTGCCTAAGCTCGCGAACTTCTTAGTAAGTTAATTTTTCCATAACAATGTGTCAGTCTACTTCAACATCAGTTTCCTACAGTATGTACAAAGAATTCTTGCTGAAGGCGGGACCAAAAAGTATTCTTAAACAATCGGTATGGAAGTTTTTAATCTCACTCGCTGTAGAACTTCTATAACTCGGCGCGCTCTCAGTCAACCATGGATGAAATTCGCAGAATCTATTGGCAGGAAAGAATAAGCCTCGTTCAACTTCAAAAAATTATGGCTTCTCATTGGCAAGAATCTTGGTTTGCCTCCTCAGATTTTTTGTTTGGTGTTACGTCGTTCAAATCACATTTGGATTTTGCTCAGCTGGTAAAGGGATTCTTTAAATCTAATACCTCGAAATTCAGTTGATTGAGCAGTTTCGAAATTCTTATGCTTCAGTCAGTGAACTTCTAGGCAAAACGTTTATTACAAGAGTAAGTGCCATTTTGCTTACTTGTCCAATGTTTTTTTTTCTATTTCATTTCTATTTCCATTCTATTCACTTTCAGACCCAAATTGAGTTGTCAGTTGACGCTAGGTTCTGTCAGCTACTTCGTGAAGTTGAACTGACTTTAGAAGCCATTCTGGCATCTGTGTCAGGCGATTTAGGTCTGTTAGAGGACTCCAATGAGGGAAGTTTGTTCTCCTCTCTATTTGATTCTTTTTGGGTAAGTTTGAGTCACGTAACTGCAACTATTGGCATCTGATTGCTGAGATCACGTTGGTGCATCTTCTCTTATTCAGCAATCGATGTTTTTCTCGCGGAAGGAATTCTCGTGCCTTTCTACGGTCTGCCGTCAAATCATCGACAGAATCAGGTTTGTTCTTGTGTGCCAGTCATCAAGTAGAACTCTTGCTTCTTTCTTGCCAATATTTGCTCATGGTTTTGTCCATGTATGAGTTTCCTAAGCACCCGCTTGATCGTTTTGTGTAGAAGCCTCCAGTGCTTCATCTTGATTCGAGCTGGTCGTCTTGACGACCGCTGTCTCTACGCTTCTGGTTGTCAAAGTGACAAGCACTTTATGCGGCAGAACCACAGTCGCCTCCTGACAAGCGTCTCCAGTCTCAGCAGGTCTCCTAGCAACGCTCCCCTACTCCTGCTAGCTGCTGTGTGCGGTTCAGCGTTTGCTACGACTCCGGCTGACCTAGCTACGGCATCAAATTATGCTGCCGTTGCAATCCAAGAACTCGACGTCTTTGGCTATCTCTGCGATCTCCTCTGTGAACCCAAACCCCTCACCATGGCAGTAAGCACTCAAGTAGGACTTAACACACCCTCCTACTTGTGTTCCAGGAATGATTATTCGTCTTCTTTGCAGGCCAGGACCACCTCCTTTGCGTCGTCGCCTTTTGAACTGTTTGTCATCCCGGAGAGCTTGAGTGTTGTCAGCCTCTGCAGCCATTTGGCCGTCTTCGACTTGCTCACACTCATGGCAAGTCAAATTGCTCTCGACTCCCTTGGAAGTCATCGCAACACCTTCATTCGACTCTTGGCTAAAACTCTCTCCGTGGTTGTTCAGTGCCGCGGCGGCGGCGACGCCGGTGGCGGTAAGGACGGTGGCAAGACACTGCAACCCGCGGGAATCGGTGAACGCGTTCTTGCCATCGTAGAAGACCTTGCACAGCGTGAGTTCCTCCTCCTCCTCCTCTGTACCATGAACACAAGCTGCATCATCTCCGTGTACTTCAACTTGTAGGTTTCCCGGTTGACCTCGACTTCCTGCACCTCTGTATCGCCCTGCTTAACACCAGCGGCAGCTGCGCAGCAGCCAATGAAAACGACCAGGACATGGCCCAGTTGGTCACCCAACTTATATCCAGTGTACCCTACTTCGCGCAGCCCAGTGACCCGACAACTCTCGAGGATCTCGCTCATGTTCACGACTCGGACGTGAATGGTTCTGGGACAGTAAGTCTCATTCGCCAGCACTGGGTTCTTCCACCTGATTGGTTGGATGTAGGGACATGCGCCAAGTACAAAAAAGGCTCACAGAATCCGTTAGCCATCTGCCTACCCGCTGGCACTGTGGGATTCCTCAGACAAGGTGAGTTTTGTGGTTAGAGTTGAGTGAGGAGGCTTCGTCAGCCATCCAAACCCAACACAAATTTTTGGTGTTCTCTAGAGGGGAAAGTTGTCGTGTGGCAGCACGAGTACTCTGTGTGGCCCGTGCTCAATGCAATAGTTGCGTCTGCAGAGCACGTGCTTTCACGCGAGAACGCCGAACAAGCCGCTAGTTCTCCAGAACTCACTTCGTCGGAGTGTTCCGCGTCAATTTCTGCCTTTCCCGACCTGCCAACTGCGGTGTCGCGTCTCGTCACGTGTCTGGACTTTGTAAACGCCTGTCTTTTGGTAGGATTTTTGCTGCAACGATACGTCCTGCCGACGACTGTTCCACGCAATCGCACACGCACACTCCCTTTTCACACCCTTTCAGACGAAGATTGAACCCGTTCGGTGTCTGGTCCTAACAGATGTCGTGTGGGGTCTGGTGACGCGGGTGTTCACCGAGTACCTCAGCGCCGAACGCGAAACACCTGTCGGCCAGTTGCTGGCCATGCTGGCGGCCGACCACTTGCTGCCCTGTCTCATTCGTCTGACGGCAAGCTCAGCAGCCTATGCTCTTACGCCCAGCACAGACGGCGACCAGGTGGCAGAGCTGTTCAATAAATTGTCAAATTCCGTGTTCCGGAGGCTGCTTGTTGACCGTATACTTCTCCCTGCGGCGGTTCCTGCAAACGCCGCGAGTAGCCAATTAGCCCAGCAGGTGTACGTTGGTGAGATCATCACAACGCCTTCTTGTCATTGACATATTCTATCCCTGTTTGTTCGTCTCCTTGTAGTGGCACCTACACATTGAGCGATTCGTGCTTCCTTCGTTTCGTCGCCTTGTCATCATCATCTACGACGCCGTCGTGGATGACAGCCGAAGCGTCGGCGTCTACTGCCTACCGACTCGTCTCTTCGTATCTTGACTTGGCGCTGAGCCTTCTCTCAGCTGAGAAAACCGCCTTCTTTTCGGACTCTGATTCCTTCTCTAGTGATGTCCTGGAGGAGGACCTAGTGGGCGATGAGACGCGCAGCCCTCTCCTCGCCTGTCTTGTCTTCTGCTTCGAGTTCCTCATCGAAGCCGGTGGAAGCAATGGCGCGTCGGGCTTTGCGATCATTCCGAAATTACTTCAAGGCTCTCCGGACAGAGGAATCGGCATATTGTGTCTAGGTGCGCAATCCTCCTCCTCCTCCTCCTTTCATTTAGCCTCATGGTTGTCTTTGGATTGATGATATGTGGCTTAAAATCTGTGCTTACGTAGTAGGCATCAGCGAGAGCGTAAAATCGCCCAATCAGCTTCTAATCCACTTGTCCTTTTGCGATGTCAGCTTGCTATTGGTCCATCTACAGCAGTCTGTAGGTTATTCCACATCATGAATCGTTCGATTTGAATCGAAGACACTGTTGTGCCTGTTCTCCTTTTCCAGTCAACAAAGCTCTCCTCTTTCTGGTTGAACTTCTGACCTCTTATTCACCCCCCGATCACGACGACGGCGACGGCGATGATGTTGAAAAGAAGGGCAAATCTGACTCCTCTACCTCCCCTTCATGCCTCGCACCTCTGCGTTTCCGTGACCTTCAGGCCTACGCACATCGCGTCCTCTCCAGCTCGCGACCTCTCATGGATTGTCTGGTCTCCCTCACAAGTGTACCGGCCTCCTCTCTTCCAATATCCCCACAATCTGCTGAGTTTGAGTGAGCTGAATGCGCTCCGTGTGTGTGGGGCATTTTGTACCAATCATTTGCTCGGCTAGCCATTCCTGAGACAATGCCATTGGTTGTCGATTTTTCTACCCACAGTTTTCTGCGCTTTTCAACACGTCCGGAAGACGAGCAGATTGGAGGCGCGTCGGCATTGGGTCAGCATCGTGTGCAGTCCACGTGGTTGGCCTTCACCCTGCTTCACAGTGTCTTTCCGTCGGACCGCAACAATTCATCACCACTCCTGAAGGCTCTCAACACGGTGGGTGATCTACGAGCGTGCAACGACGATGTTGCCATGCCATACCTCCTCAAGGTCCTCACATTCCTCGATGTCAGTTGTGGAGTCGGACTAACCCGGGCGGCGGTGAATTTACTCAAAAAGATGATTCAGGTAGACTCGTGGATTTCATGTTGAAGTTACTGCCACGGTTAAATCCCGATAACCCCTTGTCGGAATAATGTTATAGTTTCCAGGGAAATTGGTTACGCCGTACCTGCATGACATTCAACCGGAGTTGCAACAGCTCATTTTGGTGCGACTCTCGTCGCCAACAGAGGACCAGATCACCCGAACTGGCCTCTATGATTGGCTATCCGTAGCCGTCCTCTATGACGTCATCAATGGCCTTGCGATTGCGCCCTTCAGTGGACCTGGTTTCACGCTCGTTAGGATGCTCTCGTCTTACGCCTCATCGGGTGACGACGACGCAGGTGCGCACGTTGGGAGCCTACGCGACGGTGTTATTGCTACACTCGACTTAATTGCGGTGAGATTTGTACTTCAAGCTTCGGTGTTGTGTAAGTGAAGCAATAGACCTTGAGTGCACCAATGGTTGCCTTTTCTTATCTAGAAGGAATCAGGCGTTCAGTGTGTCAACCTGTATTGGTCAGTTTTGAAACTCATTTCTGCCATTTGGACGCAGCCAATGAATCCCTTCAGAGTCCAGTTCTGTGAAATGTGAGTTTACGTTTGCGATCGTAAAAAATTGATTTTAAAATAGGTTAGTTCGGATTGGCTGATGTCTCGCCAATCAGAGCATTGTTGAAAGTTTTTTTCTGATTGGCTAAGCTCAAGCTTTAGGTTTCATTGTGCTTGCCAGACTTCGAAATCATTGGTAATGAGGTGATCCAAGATCAACATCACTTCATTGAAGTGATCTCTGTCAAAAAACTTTTCATGTGTCCGTGTAAGCCTCACCACCACCACCACCACCACCACCACCACCACCACCACCACCACCACCACCACCACCACCACCACCACCACCACCACCACCAATTTTCCTGCTTCAGTGCGTACATGATGCTAATGATGTCGAAAATGTTGGTTACAATTGGCCTTAGGCTAACATTTGAAATCGAGGTCATATTTTACCTGCTTTTGGAGTCGATAGAAGGCAAATCGTATTAACAATGGGAAGGAATGAGTCATGTAATCTCTGTGCAAACCGTAGCTACAGAAGTGGTCACCAATGCGTCTGCGTATTGGCATTTTTTAGCCCCAACTTCTGGCAGTCTCTCAGCAAGCCATTTTTCAAGCACATGGCATCCTACGAGTCTTCTAAGGTTTGTCAAACCTCTCTTCACTGAGTTTCTCATTCCGCGTGGGGTCTAATTCCTCTTCGTCCCCTTTTCACAGATGACCATGTCGATAGTGGATCTGGAGATATCGGGACACTTTGCCACGATCTTGGCCGTGGAGTTATTTGAAGCACTCAAGTAAGCCGCCGGCTCGAGGAGCCATATTCTCGTTGGGCCCTCAAGACACCTTTCTTCTTGCACGTGGTGTTTCTTTTTCATCATTTTTTTTCAGACTCTCCGACACTCCGGACGACCGATTTATTGCCGCTTTGAAGCAATTTACAGAGCAGCTCTTTCTGCCATGGCTAGAGGTAATGCCTGAAATATGGATATATATTGAGGGCGGTCGGTCGGTCGATATTCACCCCACACTACCACCCCTTTTCCCCCCTCTTCTTCCAGTGGGCTTTTCGTGGCCTTGAGACGAGCAGTGGCGGGGACAACGGCCTTCCTCCGGCAGTCGCCTCGGCACTTGCCTGGTCTGTTGTGCGCTGGAAGAGCGTCTTCTGCACCCTCCTCAAGTGGAACTCTTTCGACACCACCTCCAAACCGAAGCTCCTTTCCAACCGGGACCTTGTCAGTGTTATTGATGTTTTTCTTGACAAGGCATTCCTCATGGTGAGTCACACCAAGTAGACTGTACCTGATCGTAGTTTGTTGCGCTCAGAACTTTTCTTGGACCTGATGCTAATCAGGTTTTGTCATAGTACGCATTCTGTGCGTTTTTGATCGAATCGATGAATTGCGAAACCGTCTAAAGTAAGAACTTCCTAGCCCCAAACCATGAGTAGTAACATTGAGGGTAAGATGAGATCACTATAAAGAAATTTCGTGGGCGACTTTCGAGGCGAGGGATCACTGTACCGGCTCATTAGAGTGTGCGACAAATAGACGCAAAACTGTCCCACCATGGTAACACGTGAATCCTTTTGCAGGCCTCCGTTCCGCGCACAACCGAGACTACCTCAGTCATCGATCAGCTGGCAATTTGTCTGGCGGCGTCAGCAAACCATCTGCTAAAGTTAGTTTCCCTTCTTTTGGCGATACCGGCGACTGTGGGTTTGCAGTTCTTCTTACTGTGTGTGTGTGTTGGTGCGTGTCTTTCGTGTGTTGCAGATGCGCAGAGTCGACGGCGCAGTTGAC